TAGGTGATGGCTCTCGTTGTAGAGGTGTAAACTCGGCTCGATAAGGTGATTGCTCTGGGTGAGGTGATGGATCTCGAAGTGGAGGCTGCTCATCATCCATGCCATAAAAAAAAACGCTTACTAGCTTGCCACCAATCAGTGGAAAGCTCAGCCTCCGTGCGTGTCAGCCTCTGTAATGGAGTGTTGGCCTCCTAACAATATAAAAGCTCAAACAAAGTTAAACATCTACTAGTAATAACTTGTTTATATATGGTAGTATTTGTGTTAACTTACATCATTTATTATTGTATACTGTAGTAACTCTTCCCAATCCAACATTCGTTTCCTCTTCCAGGAAATAGCCCCGAGAATATCATTTGAAGTTTTTAATGCATATGTCTTCATGCTGGGAAAAGCCTCAAATATCCAAATCTACAAACGATATATTATACAAACATTAGTAATTGTTAAATAATTAATTATAATTTTAAAAAACATTATATAGAAATTCTTACCTGTGTGGTTGGCCCTAGGAGAAGAGGGAGTTAAGTGGTTGACCAACATCTTTAATATTATTTTAGAGACTGCCAAGATGCTAGAGGAGTGGAGAGAGTCTACAGTGATACCAATCTTTAAGAATAAAGGAGATCCCCAACGTTGTGGCAACTACAGAGGTATTAAACTACTCAGTCATACCATGAAGCTATGGGAAAGGGTGATAGAGGCTAGGTTGAGACAGGTTACTAGGGTTTCGGAAAACCAATTTGGCTTTATGCCAGACAGGTCTACTACGGAGGTGATTCATCTACTTCGACGGCTTATGGAGAAATATAGGGCAAAAATAGAGATCTTCACATGGCGTTCATTGACCTTGAGAAGGCGTATGATAGCGTTCCCCGCGATACGATCTGGAAGACCTTGGAAACGAGATGAATCCCAACTGCTTATATCCGGGCGATTCGTGATATGTACTGTAGATCTACTACATACATCAGGACTATAGTTGGTGACACCGAGGCATTCCCGGTGGAAATCGGACTCCACCAAGGGTCGGCTCTTAGCCCTTACATCTTCGCCTTGATTATGGACGACATCTATTGTGCGACACCAGATGGTGTTCCATGGTGTATGCTTTTCGCTGACGACATTGTCCTAGTTGCTGAAACAAAAACTGAGCTGAATAGTAGACTGGCTACCTGGAAGACTGCTTTGGAAGAAAAATGTCTTAGGATCAATATTGAAAAGACAGAGTATTTATGTTCAAACTTCAGTGGGAACCAAAACGATGAAGATGTAGAAGTATGCATAGAAGGACACGTTCTCCCCTCAAAGGATTGTTTTAAGTACCTAGGGTCTATGATACATAAGGATGGGGTGTAGATGATGACGTTACACACCGTATAAAGGCGGGATGGCTAAAGTGGAGGGCAACTACTGGAGTTTTGTGTGACAAGAAGGTGCCTCAAAAACTTAAGGGAAAATTTTATAGAATGGCAATAAGACCAGCACTGTTGTATGGATCAGAATGTTGGGCAATCAAGAATGATCACGCAAGGAGGATGGAGGCCGCAGAAATGAGAATGCTTCGATGGGCATGTGGTAAGACTCTATGGGACATGACACCAAATTCTACTATTAGGATGTCCTTGGGGGTAGTGTCTGTATCCGAAAAATTAAGAGAGGGAAGACTACGGTGGTTTGGGCATGTCCTTAGGTGACACCCGTCAGGTGCGGTCAGGAGGGTAGAGTCGATTACAGTCGACGGTGCCAGAAGGAGAGGACGACCAAGGAGGAAGTGGGAAGACTGCTTAAGATCTGATTTGAAGGATTTAGCCCTTACCGAGGACATGACCTCTGATAGGAAATTATGGAGACTTAAGATCAGGGTAGTCAATTAGTACGGGTCACATCCATAGGGTGTAGCATTTATGTCTTCTTTTAATGTCTTTATAGTAATTCTCATGACTTCTACTTTTTATACGTTTCTGTCATTGGAATTAATGAATGCTTAAAACTAGGGTAGCGGATTAATGTTGCCTTAGTTTAGGTTTTAACCCTTTTAACTTTATTAATTCTCGTAGTTTGCTATCGTTCAACTTCTGTGTATCATTCTCTTCATGTTTCCTCTCTTTAATTTTAGTCGGGTCTTAGGTTTCTGTCTATATGCTGAGATTATTATGCAGGGATTTATTAGCAAGGATTACTTCCCATTATATGACGCACATATGAAGATTGTATATGAAGACTGTTCAAATATTTATTTACTTATTTATTTATACATGCATTGCATTTTATCTTTATTTTTAATTTTCTGACTGCCGGAGGTCTTCCACGGAAGCTGTTCTTAACCATGCGTTAGGGGCAGCCTACTACTCTACCTCCCCCTTACCCCATTGCATATGGGAATAGGGTTTTGTTGTTGTTGTTGTTGTTACCTTAAAGGCCCAAATAAAGCCTGCCAAAGTGTATTTGGAACCATCGACGCGCAAACTTTTTCGGTCATCAAAGGCAGACGACAACTTATTCCAAGTAGCTTTCCATAGATACGAACCCCACGTAAACAGGTTCCATGCATTTAGGTCATCTACCAATAATATTAGGTCCTTAGAAATAGGTTGTCTGGCCTCTCTGCCTAAAAAGTCGGCATACAAAAGTACTAAAAGGCATACTCGGACAACATCGACGTCATTCATCTGAGTAAAATCATCTTTATTAAATAATCTTTTCAAGTCATCGACGTGGATACTCGGCTTCGACTTTGCCAACTCAGGAAAAACCCGATATAACCATGATGGGTGAGCGATATGACTGGTGTACCGATCTACATCATCGTGTCCGAAGCGTAGACCAGTGATTAAGCAAAACTCCACCCGCCCAAAACAAGTATACGTCGGTGGAAAATGAAACCATATCTCTTCATCACCACGTCGTATACTCTCGGGTAGATCGTTAGTCATGGTCTGAAGCCACAAATGGGTCAACATAGCATCTCCACCCGGATGTTGTACTTTCAGCCATGGCCCGAAGCAAGTATCCTCAAACAATTCTCTTTGTACAGGTGAAAGCTTAAATGCAATTGTTTTGGCTAGGCTTACTTTATTCCTTAAGGTCAATTGAGCCGAAAAAAATTTCTACAAAAACAATAAACATATCAAGTTAGATATACCATTTTAAATTACACTGTGAAGATATACAAAAAACAATAAACATAAAGAGTAGTAGTTTATTCTTGAAACTTAAATTTGCAACACTGTGAAGTTAGTATTTGTCTTTGTTTTTTGGTTGAAGTAATGCAATTCATTCAAGTTTCAATTTGCAGAAGAATAATAGTTTCTGAAACTTAAAATCGCAACACGAAAATGACTATCGCAACGCGAATTTGACTATTGCAACGCGAAATGAAAATCGCAACGCAAAACTAAAATAGCGTTGCGATTTTGTCGTTGCGATTTTCATTTCGCGTTGCGATTCTCGGTTTCAAATAGTCTTCTTCAAATTGAAACTTGTATGAATTGCATTACTTCAACCAAAAGACAAAACAAAGATAAATACTAACTTCACAGGGTTAAAGACTAAACAGTATAGCAGTATTGGCAGCAATCGAATGAATTTAATAAACAATCTAAGTGAAATGGTTAATCTATGATTGAAATTATCAGTAAATTTATCATCAATCTAAATATGAAAACCTTAATAATAATACAAAAATTTCAAAATAAAAATAATTAAAAAAAACTAACATTCGGTTGTTGATTTGGTTGATTTTCCATTTTTGACCGTGAATGGTTGTGAGGGTGGCTCTGAGAGATGGAGATAGACACATTTCGTCGGAGATGGGGACGGATTTCGTCGGAGATGGGGACAGATGTCGCCTTAGAGAGTGAGAGATGAAGATGAGAATGAGTTGTGATTTAGGGTTTTAAGTTATGAGTTGCGATTACGGGATATAATGTTTACATTTGTGTAGCGATATATTAATATTCGTGTTTGGAATTTGAAAATAAAATACGTGTTGCGATAATAATGGCGCTTTGAAAATCGCATTGCGATTTTGTATTATCGCGTTGCGATAATCAGATTCGCGTTGCGATAGTCAGAATCGCATTGCGATAGTCAGATTCACATTGCGAATTTGGAAAATCGCAATGCGATAGTTAGAATCGCATTGCGAATCTGGAAACTGATTTGCAATATTGGAGATCGCGTTGCGAATCAGATATCGCATTGCGATTTTGTTGGTCATTTTGGCAAATCCAAAAAAAGTTGGTCAAAATCGTATATTATAAGACATTTTCGGTCACTGAGGCTTTTATCTCTATATTATATATGAAATCAAAGACTGGAATGGAAAAAAAATAAAAATCGATGGTCGATTTCAAAATACACAAAACAACACGCATGGTGACCAAATTAAAACAAAATGAAACAAAATATCCATATCAGAATAAACAAATAACATGAATCCCCTGGTGACTATAATGAACTGAAATTATATTAAATAGCTTGAAATAAAAGGAATTAAATTTGCAAACATAGCTGGAATGTAAGGCTTACAAAGAGAGAGGACTAAACACGCAGTTATCCCCAGATGAAACAAATGACATGGTCCATGTACACGTCATTTACTTGAAATAGAGAAAGAGAGGCACTAAATGCCAAATGATGCTTTGGTGGCAATAAAGCATTATCATGCTTTAAAAATAAAGAAAAGCAAATGTGACCCTTGGAAGTTTCAAGCAGCAAGAGTCGTTTAATTCGGCTACCAACCTGTACGCGTTGGTGTTAGCTCTTTCGCCACTGCTCCTTGGACACGCGCTCGATCGGAGATTCCCTCTCTTCTTCACTTTTTTTCCTCTTTGTTTCAAATCCCTCCTACCACGATCTCTTTGATGCTATGAAGTTTCCCTCCACTCCGGTGAAGCAATGATCTTTGAAACCGAGAGGTAAAGTATTTTCTTGATAACTCTCCAGTATATCTCGTGAATACTGTGTGTAATATGGCGTGTACTCTCTGGTAATCGTATGAAAAATCCTCTCCCATTTCGTTCGATTTATATCACATTTATAACTCTCTGGGAGGTTGAGGCGTGTTGGTTGCGGGCATTGCGGCGCCGTGAGAAACGTGAAGCATAAGGGGTCCTCGGGTGCTTGGAGAAACGGCTGGACGAGGGTTTCTATCGGGTCATGGGGCCTGAAAACGAGCCACTGTTAGACCTGATGGGTTGTAACTTTTCATTGGGCCTGTAAATAATAAAATGTTTGTTAATAATATATATAAAAATAATATATATATATATATGCATGCTTTTAATTTGGTCAAAAAAGTGTGTCTACAAGTGAGTATAATGTAGTATATGTTTAAAAACTCTCAACTGTTCAATATTGGATATTCATACCTTCGTATATATGATGTTCAAACATAAGACCTAAAAGATAACAATTCACTAACCACTGAGATTGCTTGAATCATATAAGTAAAATATTATTTTTTTGCTTATATTTTGAGTTTTAAGGTTTAAAATTCAATAACTAAATATATATATTATAAAACATTTTAGAACAAAGTTAGTTGAAAAAAAGTAAAATCATAACAAATATGTTTCTTGATGCCAAGGAAAACGAGTATAGTTTAAGTGCTCCCATGTACCATTAAGCCTTAATAATAATCACCATTAAGAGCACCCATCTTCACTTGCTCTTTTTCATTTTAAGTACTCGATTGGTTAAAAGCATGGGTTTAAATAACTGAATAATTAAAAAATAGTTTGAAAAAAAATAAAACAAGCACTATTCTATGGATTAAGCCCAATCTTACAACAAATGTTTGAGAGAATGATGATGACAAATACGATTATACAAACCAAAACCAATAGAGAGATGTCAATTTTACAACAAAACACAAAACATTCTTCAAAACATAAAACACGAGCTCGCACCTGAACAAAGACTCTGGAATCATCAATCATGTTGTGCTCGCAATATCCTGAAATAGAAAAGGAATGCATTTTCAGGCAGTTTGGTAGAGTAAACTGAATGAATGAATGAATATGGCTTGGGCTATTGAATGTAGTGCCACTTACGTCTGGAAGGATTATTCAAACCATCTCGTTATTTTGAATATGGCTTCAATGCCTTCTTCCCTACTTAACTGGATGGATCTGATTGTTTGTTGATTCATCCCTTTTGATCTGCATATTTTCTGAATAAGCTCAGGCGAGACCTCAGACAAATAAACTTCGTTTAGATCAGGTAGACTTTCCCAATCATCCGGCAATGTCGTCAACTCCTGGCATGCGGCAATGAACAACTCTTGAAGACCAGGCATCACTCCTCTGTTGATCAAAATTTCTTTCAATCGAGGGCATCTCCCAATTTTTAAAACCTTAAGCTTTTGGAATCCTTCAAGGAAGTCTAATCGCTCTCCCTCGTATAAATTTAGTAGTTTGAGTTGTACAAGATTAGGCAATGCTTGGATGTGAGGGAGAAAATCATCCCTCAATCTAGACCAATTTAATACCAAACTTGTGAGGTTGTCGAGTGAGTTAAACCAGTGTGGTACCTTCTCCAGTTTCCCGACTAACGCAAGTTTCCGAAGGTCAGGGGGAGCGGATTCAAGAGCGTCCATCTTCACTTGCTCATCTTCGTTACATGATTTCACCTTTAAGGATTGAAGATGTGTCATTTTTGCAATGGCTGAGCATAAATATTTCTCATCAGCTTCCTTCACATTGGTAACGCCAAGTCTTCTCAATTGTACCATCTTGCTGAGTTGTTTGATGAAATCGCCTCTTGCGTCCACAAAGCTCAAAACATGTAAGTTGCTTAGCAAACAAATGTTGGATGGAACTACTGGGCCAAACTTACAATCAAATGCCATTCGGTTTACATTGAAACCAAAAGCAATAAGGAATCGAAGATTTTTCAACTTCACAATTCCTGCTGGAAGCTCTTTGATTTGAGTCCGCTTCATAAGTAGAAACTGTAAGTTGTAAAGCTTGCCGATGGATTTCGGAAGCTTTTTCGCTTGAGTCCCTTTTAGGTTAAGATATCTCAAATTGAATAAATTCATCAATTCGTCTGGGAGTTCCTCGATTGGAATGTCTTCCAAATCCAACACTCTCATCAATTTAAAACCAGAGGGCAGTCTATTGAAGGACGATTTAGAGGTTTCTTCAACAGCAAAAACAAATAATGAACGAACCCGAGATAGTGCAGTCTTGCGTGCAGCTTTCATTTCATTCTCCTTTGCTTCAATAGACCAACGACGGATTCCATCGTCTTCCACTTCTTCTTTCCCATCAGATTTGGCAACAAACTTTATGGATTTTGATATGGAAACAGCAAACTCCCGCAAAATGTCATGCATCTTAAATGCCCTGGGCCTCCCAGATTTATTCCTCTTCTCAACTTGAAGCAAGCCTCTGCATATCAACTCGGATAGATATCTCTCCGCAACTACTTCTGGAAGTGTTTCTTTTAGCGGTTCAACAAAGCCTTCAGCCATCCAAAGTCTAATGAGCCTTTTACGTCTAATCTTATAACCTTCTGGGAATATGCAACAATATAAGAAACATTGTTTAAGTGTGTAAGACAAATCATGGTAGCTAAGCAATGAAATATACTTGAGCCTTTCAAAATATGTATCATTTTCGCTTAGCTCCTGATTTAAGTTGTCATAAACTCCATTCCATTCGGCAATCGAGCTCTTGGAAGCCATCAAACCGCCCAAGGCCACAATAGCTAATGGCAAGCCTTGACATTTTGCAACCAGCTTTCTTGCTGAAGGTTCAAGATATGGTGGGCATTGTCCACCTTTGCCAACAAAAGATTTCTTGAAAAAAAGAGTCATGCTCTCTTCAAACGGTAAGTGTTTAAGAGGAAAGATGTGTTTTACAACTCCAAATTCAAAGGAAGCAACGTCGTCCTTCCGTGTGGTAAGCAAGATCCGGCTTCCATTCATATTGGCAGGAAGTGCTATGCTGATATCTTGCCATAAATTAGTGCTCCAAACATCATCAACCACAATTAGATACCTCCTTGGCTGCAAGAAGTTCACCAGTGCCTCCACCAAATCTCGATAACTCATGGAGTCTAGGTTGATCACCGGATCCATCTTTTCTTTTGCCTTGCCGTAGAGCTCTTTGATGATGCATTTGAATAGTTCTGTTACAATATATTGTTGTGAAACAGTGATCCAGGCACAACAATCGAAATGTTGCTTGACAACTTGTTTGTTGAAAGTGTTGGCGACGAGAGTTGTTTTACCTAGACCGCCCATCCCAACCACAGAAATCACGGTCCTTTGAAGCTCTTCATCCAACAGCCATCCCAGTAACTCATTTTGTGCCTTGTCGATTCCAACAAGATCGACATCTTTAAAAAAGAGAGTAGATTCACTCAGATTCTTCACCCAGTTGTTACGGTGATATTCTCTTCGGATTTGCTTATCAGATTTTCTTGATTCTGATCGAGAAATCGGATATCGTTGGTTTCTCTCTGCAATGCTTTTGATTCTTTTGTTGATATCTTGTAACTGGACAGCTATTTGATGCCTGAACAATAAAGTCTTGGGAAAATGAATAAGCTTCAAGAAAAACTTGGTGGGTTTACCCCTCCATTGTTGTTGCTTGTTGAAGTGGAACATGAATTCGTCGACCACGTCTTCAACTTCATAGGTAATGTCTCTGACGCTTGCGACCCATTGTTTATCGGTTTCAGAGATGGGTACTACTCCTAGGCTCGTGTCAACATCCTCAAGGAAAGCTGTAATGGCCTTGAGCTCAAGCTTGATTTCATCGATTTCAGCTCCAACCTCTGTCAGCAAGGAAGCTTCCTTTTCTAAAACGGAGACGAGCTTGCCCGTTAACAGATCTAGAGAGCTTGATAACTCCATTCTTTCCAATTCTAGAGATAAAGGCTTGACGGTTATCAGATGATCTTTAAATTATCTATGCAAATGAAAAACATGTTGCCATGAAAAGTTCTGTAATCATATTCCAATTATTGTATAATTTATAAATAAAAGTTAAAGCTATGACAAATAAACTATCATATTGATTATAATCACAAACCTTAAAGCATTCAGACTTGGACTGCTTGAATTCAAACCTGTGGTTGGTTAGGGTTGGCTGGGAAGGAAAGAAGAAGACGACTAATTATAGCGAGTTTTAGTTTACAGTCAACTCACAGAGTTTTTTATGACTGGACGGCCACGATCGGTCTTCAGTAATGAACATAGAAGTGATTTATTTATTTTAATCAATATGAAGGTGATTTATTAGTACAATAAAGGGTAAACTACTCTCATGTGAACTTTTATTAGCATAATAGTATTCGGAGTATATTAACTTTTGGGTAAAGTATATAGATGATCCACCGACTATTAAAAATTATAAAATAGTCACCTAACTATTTATATGTTTTAATTTTGTCCTTTGTTGTTAAAAATATAACAGCCGTTTGAGCTGAACGTTAACATGTTGACTGTGATATGATAAAATTATATTTTAATTGTCGGAACCGTCTTTCGGTTGGGGCCCGGAATTGGGCTTCGACTTGTAAAATGTGGATTGGAGTCGCCACCGACCAATTTAAAACGAATTTAGGTGGGTCGGACACCATCTTACCTGATCTTCGTTGTACCAGAAACGTGTCGGGTTCGGGAGTCGGTTACGGTCAAGGAAGGATTAGCACCCTTGAACCGCCCTTTCGGTACCAATTAATTTGCCGGTTGTCTTTAATTGCGAAAATTAAAATTTGAATTGAAATTTAAAACATTCGATTCGAATTACTTACCTTTGATCGATTGGAATTTCTGAAAACAATGAGTCGAAGATGTTAGAAAAAAAATAACAAATAAATAATAAATTAGGAAAAATAAAATAATAAATAAATAAATGAATATAAATCAAATGGCAAGAATATTTAAAAAATACTAATGTCAAAATAAATAAAAGAATAAAAAAGGATCAAAAGTGAAGAAAACGAGATAGGGAAAAATAAAAATAAAATAGAATATTAAAAAATAATAATAATTAGAACGAATATTAAAAACGTTAACTTTTAAAAGTAAATAAAATAACAGGAAAAAGTGAAAAGTGTAATATGGGAAAGAAATAATAATAATAAAATAAAATAATAAAAGAAATGAATAAAGGGTTAAAGTTTGAAATTAGAAAATGTTAGAAACAAAAACAAAATAAAGTAAATAAATAAAAGGATCAAAATGAATTAAATTAGACTTTGTGCACTGAAATTGATACTAAAACCCAATCTGTAAAAAAGCAAAATTAGAGGGTTAATTCATAAAGCATAAATAAGGACTAAATTGAATGAATTCAGAATCTGGAGGTAGAATTACAAACGGTGGTCGGATTTTAATGCGACTCAAAACAGCAGGGACTGCGGAGAGAATTTAAGAATCTTCTATTTGCATAATGGTCCCTGCTATATATATATCCAACCAAGCCCATTTTCACTTCATTTTCAGCATTCTCTTAAAAATCTCATCTCTCTCAAACGATAGAAGGCTCTCGGCTCCTATCCCTTGGCGATTTTCGGTCGCCGCTGCCGCCGCCGCTCGCGGAGGCCGACAAACCAAAACTCACCCTGAAACACTCGTCTCAACGCTCTCAAACCAAAACCGAAACCTTAACACTCAATAAATCCCCCCATAAGCGTAGATCTACGCTCAAAGCTTCGTCTTGTACCTTTTCCGATGAGTCTTCTCGGCTTCCCGGCGTGCTCCTGTCTCGACGATATCCTCGTTTTTGTTTAGATTTTTACTTGCTTGGATTTACTGTTGTGGGGCTTTTCGGCCTTTGGTTTATATGTTTCTTGGCTTACTGTTCTCTCTCTGTTCGTTGGTTTTGGTGATATTTGGTGTAGATGGTTTTGGTTTACTGTGTTTGGCTTTGATGATGTTTTTTGGCTTAGAGTTTCTCTGGTAGTGTATTGTGTACTGACTTTCGATTTGTTTGACCGTGGTGGTCTCTATCGATTTTGGGTACTGTTGATGGTTCTTCGGTTTACTGTCTTCAATGGTTCTCGATGATCCTGTTCCCCCGTTGCATGGCCTCACCGGGCTTTTATAACCCCCACCGGTCGTTATGAGTCCCAAAAAAAGGGGGTTGTTGCTGTTGTGGCCGGTCATCCCGGGATGGGTCAGTCCCTGGATTTTCGGCCGGTCGTTTCGCCTCTTGACCATTCGGTTACCTCTGTGTGGCGCCATTGCACCCTGTGTTGACCCAAATGATATCTTAGGGTTTTTCAAACCCCAATCCCCAGTTACAGCGCTATGACAGACGTTGGAACCCTAATCTGAGCTCTGGGCTGGGTCAGGCCCAACTTGGCTCACTTGGACCCCAAAATGGACCTGGACAATTAAAATGAAAATAAAATTAATAAAAATAAATAAATAAAAATAAATAACAACGATAATAATAATAATATAAAATATTTTCTACAAACTATATATATATTTTCAAAAGTATTTTAAAATATATATATTTTTTAAAAACGTTTTCAAAATTATATAGTTTTCAAAAATGTTTTTAAAACTATATATTATAAGTTTTCAAAATGATTTCAAAACTATATAATATATATATGTTTTCAAAATGTTTCTTTTTAAAAATTATATTTATTTTAAAAATGTTTTTAAAACCATATAATATATATTTTCAAAAACGTTTTAAAAACTATATATTATATTTATTTTCAAAGTGTTTTAAAAACTATATAATATATAAATGTTTCAAATATATTTTCAAAACTATATATTATATATATATATATATATATATATATGTATATATAAAAAATAAATAAAAAAAATGAGACGAAAATGGGTGTCTACATTAATGATGTCTATTGGTTATATATATATATATATATATATATATATGTATATATAAAAAATAAATAAAAAAAATGAGACGAAAATGGGTGTCTACATTAATGATGTCTATTGGTACCGTCGTTGCTTTTAAACACTGGCTCGATGACATAATGTTTCAAACATTGGCTCAATGACATAATGTAAACGGAGAGTCGGTCCATAAAATACAACTCAAATAATTATGAGATCAAATTTTATCATATCTCAATCAACAGTCCAGTTCAGTCGACCGCCAATTTTTTAACGGAAAAAGACGAGTTTGGAACATTTGAAAAGTCAAGTGATAATTTTGTAACTTTTAATAGTCGGGGACCCAACAAAACAATGTCCGATAATCGGAAATCATTTTGTAACTTTTAATAATCGAATAACTCAACAAAGCAACCATTAGGGACCATTTGTTTACTTTACCAATTTTTTTAACAAAAAAAAACTCTTACCGACTCTCTCTCTCAATTCTCACTTTCAAAACTCAATTCTCCTCTTAATAAGAATTCCCACCAACCAATAACTTTCGAATTGGATCATAAATCGTCAATATGATCATCTCCTTTTTCACTGCATTAATCATAATAAATTACCACCTCATTTATACATCAATACAAACCTATATGTATTCGTTTTGAGAACTATAATTTCCATGACACAAAAGTACTTTACATGCTTATAAGAGAGAACAAACCTAGGAAGACCTCTTCAAGTCCCCCCTTTGCCTAGCGGCTCAAGAGTGAAGATCTCAAAGGAGCACCGACAACACCAAAGTGCAAAACTTAGCCCTTAATTTAGGAGCGTCGTCGTCAATGGAGAATGAAAAATCCGTGGAGGAAATAGATCATCTTGAGTGAAGCACGAAGAAGATTAAATAGTCTACTAAGATAGATGTCGAGATCAAGAACACCGTAACAAAAGAAAAGAAAAAGAAACATGCAACAAATCGACTGTTTCAGAAACCTCAACTTCAACCGAACCACAGTTCCTGACGTTTCCTCGAAGAGGAAGCCAACATCTTGTGTCTCCTATCGGTGAGGCTAGAACGAGCAGGGAGATCTTAATCGATGGGTTGATGATATATGTACACACATTTATCTTCAAAGTATGACTAGAATGGTATGAAACATTGTATACTGTTTGCATACTAATTTCTGATTAACAAAATGAATACCGTATACAAAATCAAATACAGACTGACATCATGTCTTAACAAAGTGTTGCATACATATTTCAACGATGATTCACTGTGCCTATATGATGGTGCCCTTTTGGTTAATCAAAGAACATAAGCTAACTACTCGAGAAACTAAAAAGAAAATCGAGAAGAGCAATAAAATTGACCTAGACATGATCACATTTTCTACAGAGAAAAAGGAAAGAATAATGAAGAATGAAGAATGTATTACAAGAAGTATTTCATCCGGTTATCTCTTCTCATAGCATTGTATACAGCTTGAACCTATATGACACAATGAGTTCCATTAGAGTGCGTACAATCATCGGTCCTTTGAAGCAACATTTTATTTTGTATTTTTCACTTCTTAAGACAGGAAAATTAATGTATACGAATGATAATGTGAATGCATGAGCGTACATATTAGGAAAATTCCATGGTATGTTTGCATGTATGCTTATTGTGTGTGCGCGCGTGTGTGTGTGAGAGAGAGAGAAAGGGTGTTGGGGGGACACTTCAGACATGTATACAATAAGATCTATCTAAAGAACCAAGTCATTTACCTTTCAAGGTGGAGTAGTTCCTCTTACTCGAACTCGTATGTGAATAACGAATATGAAAATACTTTTGTCCAAATTTGTTAGAAGTTGTTCTATACTTTTGGAGAAATTCTTAGAAAGTCATGTCCCCGTACTGATGTCTAAATATGCATCCTACGAGGACACTCCAGAAGAAATAATAATTAGAGCAAAAAACTTCTTTCAATATTATTGCTCAAAAGTTTCTGCTTTGATGCTGCTAAACAGAATTAGATTAATTAAATTATACTTCTCTTGACTCTATCCTACTTGAACTATTTCAAATGTAATTTTCGTTGGCATTTGGTTCAATTTCTCACTAATAAAAGCTACATCAACCTTTTTCCTACATAAGAAAAATATATTTATCTCGAAAAAAAGAAAACAACTTTAATCCAAAAGTGGAAGGGAACCTGAAATTGCTTTGAGAACGGCTTCCTGAGGCGGCCCTTGGTCAAGTTCATCCTCCTCGGATTTGGAAGACGGCGTTTCATTCCGAGAGCAACGCAGTTTCGGAAT